TAACCTAGAGAAAAGTTATCTTTAGACCATGACCCCAAATTGAGAAATATAAACAATTTAAAAATTGGAGTATTGGTAGGTGTTTATCTTCGGGGTTTCAACATCAGTGAGTGATGTGTACCTTTAAACCTTAATGAACCTCAGTGTTCTTACAATGTATTTCTTATTATGTCAGTTTGGCTTAAAAAAGTTAATGCGCAATTACATTGATTTTATTCTTGGCATTTTGTTTCTAAAGCTTAAGAGAAACAAACATGATGCCACAAAGTAAATGAGAAAATATTTTTATATTCTGGAAGTTGAATGCTGCTTTTCTACTAGCACATTGGTCAGGAGCATGGGCCAGATGGAATTAAAGATCCAGGATGAGGTCCTGGCTCTACTATTTAATGCCTAAACTCTTGGCCCAAAATCTTCATGTCTCCAGGCCAAGTTCGCCACCCATAGCAGCTTAGCTGTGGGGGCACAAGCGGCCCCGAAAAGTACAGTGTCTCTCCTGTCAGTCCTATGGGCTGTAAGAACAAACAATTCTCTTCAGAATAATGTTCAGGGAAAATCAAAGGCTGTAGTTACCTGCTAAGTTTTGTTTCTTCACTCTCTGCTTTTTCCTCATGGTTGGTGAATTTCCCTTTCTGCTCTCAATTTAAAAAGGAAGATTTTTTGAAATCAATAATACATGCACATGGTAGAAAATTCAAAAGATATGAAGGAGTGAAAAGTAAGTCTACTTCCTCCTCCATCCCCAGCCTTCCAGTTCCCCTCCTGACAGGCACCATGATAACTACGTTCCAAAGCTGCCCCTAAGTGTGTGGGGGTGGTGTGTGTGTGTGTACATTTAAAAATAACATATGTATGTGTTATATAATAGCTTCTCTTTAACTTACAAATAAAGCTATTACATAGCTTATCTCTAACATATGACACTGTACTACAACTTGCCTTGTTGCCCTCTATGTTGGTGATGGACTGGTCTCCTTAGGCAGGTTTACAGCTGCCCCATTCCTCTTTCTGGCTGTTTTATGACATTTTATTGACCTAGTTGCCTATTGGTGGGTGTTGGGATGGTTTCCAATGCCCTATTACCACCATGGACACGCTTGTACATACATCATTTGCTACACAGACAGGTGTGACTGGAGGAGTAAACCGGTACCTGGAGCTGCTGGGTCAAAGAGCAAGTATATTTAAAATGTGAATGGCTAATACCTGGTTGTGCGGTTTCATACCCCCTGCTGTAATGAGACTGCCTTTTTCCTCACCCCTTTGCCAACAGAGCCAGGTTTCTCAGCCCTGTTTTAATATGCATTTCACTTTAGGTTGCCTGAGTTTCACATAACTGACTCCTTTTCCAGGAACTACCCACGATCTTTGTTCCACCCTTTATTACATCTTTTTCTTTTTTTTTTTTTTTTAAGATTTTATTTATTTATTTGACAGACAGAGATCACAAGTAGGCAGAGAGGCAGGCAGAGAGAGAAGGGGGAAGCAGGCTCCTGGCTGAGCAGAGAGCCCGATGCGGGATTCGATGCTAGGACCCTGGGATCATGACCTGAGCTGAAGGCAGAGGCTTTAACCCACTGAGCCAAACAGGTGCCCTTCTAATTTTATTTTATTGTTTATTTTGCCTAGAAGAATCGGCATATAACTGTGTAGGTGAATTTATCAGTCTTGTCTTTTATGGCTTTGCCGGGGGGGGGGCGGTCTGTAAGCTACTAAATCGGCCTCTCCATTCCAAGACTGTAAATATAATTGTGTTTTTTATGGGGTTGTGGTTTTATCTTTACATTTAAATCTTTCAGTCATTTGTTATTTATTTGTATATAGAAGTGAGATACAATCATGTTTTTCCAGTTGGTTACTCAGTTGTCCCAACACCATTTTGAATGATCCATCTCCCCCTTAAAAGTATGAAAAGTCACCTTATAATCCAAATTTCTATTTTAAATCCTATCTTATCCACCTAAGTCATCCTTTCTGTGCCTTCCTGTATTTCTTACTGGCAGTCTGTTTCCCCATCCTTCTTTGTTTGGTGTTCTCTCTGGCTCGTTTTAGACTTACATACTACTTCTAATTCCATACTTAGAGTTGCAGAGGCGAGTGTACTGTTCCCCCCAGGCTACACAGGTCCCACAGTGACACCACTAAGAAACCAATCTTGTCCTCCTACACACTGCTTTAGAAGAGGTTTTGAGCTTCTATGAGAAATGCTTTTTTCCAGTCTTCCAGTGACTCAGGAGCAATGAGAAGTGATCAGAGGTCAGAAGAGAAGAGAGGCCATCTCCTGGTGGGAGAAGGCAGGGCTCGCTTTAGCACCCAGCAGTCTGGAGTCCTGGCCTAGTGCCCATCCCTAAAAGACTGTCCTTCGTTCAGAGAGTGTAAGCCTCCATTTGCTCACAGGGGAGTAATGTCATCAGTATTGCTAAATAATAAGAACACTCATGCAGATGATACCATCATCAGCCACCTGATACAGATATAGCTCCTGCTCCCAGGCTCCATACAGCACAACCTGGGCACCCTAGATCCAGATTGCTCTATGCTGTGTGTTGTTCTTTTCCATGACCTCCCTTAGCCACTCCCTCCTCCCTGCTGCTCTTAGATCTTTCCCAGCAGACACAGGTAAGGTAGTAAAGGCAACTCAACTTAACTTACTATGCAGAATTCTAGTTCTAGGGCTGACACCTCCTGATCTGTACTTCAGTCCCAATCTTTCTTCTGAGACCACATTTCCAAGTCAAGTTGTATATTTATAGCTGTGTTCCTCTTAGGCCCATAAAACTCAACAGGTCTAGTACTGAATTTACTTTCACCCCAAAAACTCTCCTCATTCATTTTCTCAATTTTGCTTAAATACCATCAACAATGCAAGCCAGAAACACAAGAGATGCCCAACAGGAGGTCTTGAAAGATCACTGCTGTGTGTTACTCTTCTGCCTTTCAGGCCACAGCCTAGCCTGGGAGACATCTATTTGCCCAGAGAGCTTAGAATTCATTAAAAATTCTCACTTTGCAACTTCTGCCTGGAGAAGACAAGCTGTTGTTTTGGGAAATCTTCCAAGCTTCTTTAATACTATTTAGCATATCAAGGGTGTAATATGAGGTTGGAGGAAAAAGGATAATATAAAAGCCCATCCTTTGGACTGTGGATATGATGGGAAGAAAGAGGAAAAGAAAATGAAGCCATCAAAACGAATGGTTCAATATGTATGTCCTGAGGGCATCAGATGAATGAAGAGTCAATTAAGGCAGGAGGAAGTTCTGGGCCTGACTTCCATGGTGGGAGGCCACAAGTGAACCTGATCCTCAGCAGAGCAGCCAGGAGGAGGGAAGGCCCCTGATTAGCAGGTGGAGGCTTGGAGAATCCTAGATTGGTTTCAGACAAAATCATTCCATTCTGCATATCTTAATAGCAGATATGCACTTAAAGCCTTAAAGACACTTAAAGCCTCAAGCCATTACACATTTTACACTCTCTTCCTCTCCCTCACTCCCACATACAAGCATCATGCACCAAATCCTGTCACTTTAACTTCTTTAAGTAATACCTTTCAAGCTGACCCTAGTCTCACTTTTTCCACTGCCGCACTGCCTGAGTTCAGACCCTAACTACCTTTTGCCGGAAGTACTGCACTGCGTCCGGTGTCTCCCCTCAGATCCATCCCTCATCAGGGGTGCCTTACCAAAACAAAAAGTGGTCACATGACTTCCTTCATCAAAAAACATCCTATAGGATACATACCAAACTTGTAGCATTGCTTAATTTTTTTTAATTAACACATAATGTATTATTTGTTTCAGGGGTACATGTCTGTGATTCATCAGTCTTACACAATTCACAGCACTCACCTAACACGTACCCTCCCCCATGTCTATCACCCAGCCACCCCCCACCAGCATTGCTTTTAAGGCCAAATCTAGTTTCTGTTCCCCTCTGCAGCCTCCTCTCTTGCCACTCCCAGCCACACAGAAACACACCTGTGCTTGCCATTCTTCCATCTCTTCCCTCTTGTCATAAGCACTCTTTCCCTGTGAACCACACTTGTCCTTGCTTTTTCAGTGAGGGCTTTTCCAGGTCTGTGGTAGTGTGAGGGCTCCCTCCTTGTACAGCGAACTTTGAGCCCCTTGAGGATGGTGGTACTCAGCAGTTAACAGCAGGGAAGGGGACAGTCATAAATGTGTGCTGGGGACACTCCCGCCACACTATTCCCTACACAAGCCCTAGAACACCCCAGCCTCACTACTTTGTATGTTATTCCTTTCTTCTGAGATGACCTCTTTACCAGGTCAATCTCAAAGTTATGCCTATACTCCAAAACACATTTCAAATGCCATTTTGATCCCCGTCACCACTTCACACTATCACACTCCTAAGCTTTCCTGTCAAATAGTGTTCTGCCTTGTTTCTTTCCCAATTATCTCCACTCCTCTCTTAGACTATAAGCTCAGATGAAGGGCTTCTTAAGGTTTAATGCTCAACAGTGTCTGGACCACCGCCACAGGCACTCAAAAAATGTCTGCAGACTGCCACACTAGAACTTCACAGGTCTCCTGTACAAAATTCTAATGACGGATCACTCAGGTTGGTCCCTTGCGGAATCCACTGAACTATATACCTGGCAAATAGGTACTCAAGAAACATCTGCTCCGTATTAAATAGTGAAAGGGTACATAACGGGAAGCAGTTTCCCTCCAGCGAGAGGTGATGAGACCTTTGCGGGAATTAATTACTCCCAGCCAGTCTCTGCACTTGGTCAGCGCGCCTCCCTACCTGCCCTGCCTCGCTACATCTGCCCATCCCCTTCCCTCTCCGCGACCCACCTAGCCACTCCCGACCGCCCCGCCCTGCCCCGCCGCACCTGCCCTAGCCACTCGCGCCCAGCCTGCCACGCCCGGCCCCGCCCTCCTCACCACCCACCTCACTTTCGCAGGTCCCACCCGCCGCATCCCACCTGCCTCGCCCAGCCCCGCCCTGGCCGCCCCACCACGGCCCCGCGGCTCACCTGTAGGCCCACGGCGACACGCTGCGCAGGTTGGTGGGCGGCCGGAAGCGCCGGTCGCCCGGCCTGCCCCCTGCCGGGCAGCTCGCATTACGCGCTTGCTCGCGCGGCCCCAGCTGCAGCGTGTGGTGGAAGGCGCCGAGCACGCCCGCCGCCAGCCGCCCGTACAGCTGCTCCAGGAGCTCCTCGGGCCGGTCGGCGCAGCCCCGCGGCCGCGTCGGGCGTCTGTTCGCCCTCAGGGCACCTGCGGCCCGGCCAGGCCCCAACGCCAGCAGGACGCCGACCACCAGCATCCAGACCTGCGAGACAGGCCGCGCTCAGCGTCCTCCCGCGGCGGAGGAGCCCGCGCCCGCCCGCGCCCGGCCCTCCGCGGTCTGGGAGCCGGTGGGCGCCCCCCGTCGCGTCGCGGACCGTGAGGCGGGCCCGGAGGATGGGTGCTGACCAAACGGGCCCCCGAGCGCCGCCCCCGCCCGCCCGCCGCCCTCGGGGGCCCCGGGACCCTGCCCTGCGCCGGCCCGCCCGCCCCGGGCCGCCGCCGCCGCCGCCGCCCCGAGCCGGGGGCCGTGGGGGAGACGGCTGCGGGGTGCGCGTGTGCGTGTGCCTGCCGGGCTGCTGCGCCCTGGGCTGCGAGTGCCTGTGACGGCCGTCTGCGCCACTTACCCCCGCACGCGCCATTCCCCCGCGGCGGCGACCTCGACGCTCCGCTTGCAGCGCCCGGCCGGTCGGCGACGGAGCCTGCCGAGCCGGAGCCCGCGCCTGAGACGCCGGAGCCTGCCGAGCCGGAGCCCGCGCCTGAGACGCCGGAGCCCGCCGCCCTCAGACTCACGCCCCCACACCCTCGTCATCCGCCCGCCTCCCTCCCGCGGGGGCTGCGCGGCCGAGGAGGGGCCGGCGCGGGGTCTCGGCGCGGACAGCCCTGGGTGCCGGCCGTCTTAGCACCGGACTTGGCTTGAGTGAATTTCCTTGGGCGTTTCCTCCTCTGCGTCCGTGGGCGCGCACCGACGAGCCGGGGCCACGAGGTCGTCGCCCGGGTTCTCAGGAACGAGCTGGGGCTGCACCCTGTGCTTCTGGGACTGGAGCACATTTGCCCCCTGATGAAATGCACTCACCAGTAACCCCGGCATCCCCCCGGTTGTCAGGAGAGACCCGCACCACCTGAGGGCTGGCCAGCCGCGTTGATTCGTGCCCGACGAAAGTGGCGGCTTCCGAGGCCCGGGGAAGTGCGAGCTCGGAACTGCGTGCTGCGCGGCAGACGGGGAGGACTAGCGAAGGTGCTGCGGCCCTGCACAGGCGCTGGCCTGTCTGGCTGAAGAAGGCCTGAAAGGAACTGGGCAGATCTGCAGATCTCCAGAGCTCAAAAGTGGGGCCAACTTTGTGAAGTTAGGGGAGACAGATTCTGGCTCAGGGCAAAAAGATTCTTCTAGTAATTAAAGCTCTCCGAGAATAGAACAGGTCATCCGGAAAAAGAAAGAGCTAAAACCTAGAAGATTCTGTTCTTTAGGACGACTTCCTCTTCTAAGACTCCATAGTTCAAAGAAATAAATTTACTAGAGATTAAAACATTTCTTTTCAATAGGGTGAGAGGAGGTCGTTTCTCCTTTCCCCTCAACACTCATGAAACGAACCTTCTGTGCCTCTTCTAGCAACTCTAAAATCAAAGTACTAAAATCCCCCAACTTGCATTTTTATGTCTGTGAGTGGGCATCATTTGATCTATTACAGTGTTGGATAATTCCTACTCCATGATACCTGTAAGTGCAAGCAGTTTTGTAAAATAATATTCTGTGAATAAATTAAAAATATATTTAAATGAAGGAACTCTGTTATACTTCAAGAACACAAGAAAACGTGCTCATTTGTTCTACAAATTAATGCGTTTTAGATGGCAGGCTAATGAATATGGCCATTTTACAGCAGTCATTCTTTGAAAATGAAAACAAAAGACTGATACCCTTTAAGTGTAGAAAATAGGTAATTTATGCTTCCCTGAATGGTTTGAAGCTTTGGTATTTGACTGCCTTGGTTGTCTACAAGGTATTGGTCTCCTTGATTAAATGACATTTCAGTTGTGCTGTGTAGAAAAAGCAACACTTTTACATGCCTTGAACATTATGTAACTGAAGAATTTCAGAATTACTGCTGAAAATCCACTGAAATCTCCAATTTAAGCAATTTAAGCAATTTGCAGCTCTTGGTGAGTAAACATTTGTTTTGAGGTTATAAAACACTTCTTTTCTGACTAGTAGATAAATTGTTCATGTTCTTTGTTATCTTTCTGGTAAAATGGGAATAAAGATCAGTACTCTAAATACTGCTTATTTTGTATTTGATAAAAAGTGTGGGAGTCCTCTAGGAGAATGAGACTATCATCACCATAGTTTTCCTAGGAATACTCAGTATGTCTCATTACAATATCCTTTCGTATGCAAGGGGACACAACTTAATTGTGCCAGGCTGTTAATTCTGTATGTTTTTCAACAAAATACCTGTTGTTGTCTGGTAGCAATTTCTCTCTTCTTTCTTGGTTGGAAATAGAAAGTATTTCCTTCCCAACAGTTTCACCTGAAAATGCTTACCTATTTTATAGAACATAAAATTCATCTTTGTGAGTCTAGACAGAGTTGAGAAAATTTCTTAGAAACAGGTGCAAAGGGATGCCTGGGTGGCTCAGTCAGTTAAGCTTCTGCCTTCGGCTCAGATCATGATCCCAGGATCCTGGGATCCAGCCCCATATCAGGCTCTTTGTTCAGTGGGGAGCCTGCTTCTCCGTCTGCCTGCTGCTTCCCCTGCTTTGTGCTCTCTCTCTCTGACAAATAAATAAATAAAATCTTTTTTAAAAAGTGCAAAATGTTTTGCCTAATTTTTCATCAGTTACCCTCAAGTCTGAACATATGTATGCACATATGAAATAAACATGTTAATAATTAAATCCAAATTTAAGAAAAATGAGAAAAAGGCAACCAACTTCCTCATGTTCCCTTAGAAATTAATGCTTCTCTGGTGTTCTTCACTGAAGATGTCACCATGCCTGTAGTTACAAAATCTTGATCTCAAGTCATCCTCAGTTCTTCCCTCTCAACACCTCATTCACTCAACCATTCCAGTACCAGGCACAACTTAAAACAGACCAAGCTGTTGGGAAAAATCTTTTAGGCACCATAACTCCGAAAGCCAGCATGAGGTTGAGCACTCCCATAGTTAGCTTTTGGGTTACCCAAGCTTCCTTCCTTCCTTTAAAGGACTCACATTTTTCCACCAGTAGTGCTTTTTATTACTACCACCTTCTTGGTTAGCACCTGGATCTACCATCACTCCTGCTTATCATTCCTGGCACCTCTAACATCCACACAGATAATTTATTCAAATTAATTCTAAAGGACTACCTTCGCTCCAATTGTCTTTTCTTCCATTTTATCTCAACTATCAAATCATATGGTTGTACTCCAGATATTATCATTACCAATAACTGCACTACATGCAAATATAGGATTTCAAACAGCTACTCCCTGATATAATCACTATTCTCTGATCTCATCAGTTCTTCTAATCTTACCACTTTTCTACTAAGCATCCCATTCTTGAGTCCTTATTTCCTTCTTTGTCTACTTTAGAGTTCATGGTTCAGCACTATTATCACACCCTTGCAAATACCGTTAATCCCTTGTTCCTTTTTTCCTCTTAATATTTGCTCACAATAATCCCAACTCCATTAAAATCATACAACTTGGTTGACTAGACTCCATTCTAATTTCTGACCACAAATCTCAGATTAGCATTCAACACACACATCTATTACATTTCCCAGTTCTATTCCCTTTTACCAAGATCATTAATTTACATTTCCTCTCTATCAAATCTCTACTACTCATTTCCCCCCTCATCAAATGTTCCATACCCACAGATGAAAGCTATTTTTTTTCTACCACTGAATACTAACCTATTTTCATTCACTTTCACATATTCTGCCTTCTTTCCTGATACATTTGATAAACCCTTGACCCCAGTTCCTGCTCTAACAACCATCTAATTTCCTTACTTTTTTTTTTTAAGATTTTATTTATTTATTTGACACAGAGAGCACAAGCAGGGGGGAGCGGCAGGCAGAAGGCGAGAGAGAAGGATCCCCGCTGAGCAGAGCGCCAGACTGATGTGGGGTCCAATCCCAAGACCTTGGGATCATGACTTGAGCCTAAGGCAGCCTCTTAACTGACTGAGCCACCCAGGTGCCCCTAATTTGCTTCCTTTTATAACAAAATGTTCTGAGTTGTGTCCCTTCTCTGACTCCAAAACCTCATTTTTAACTTTCTGCTCAACCTATCCCAGTTGGCTATTTATCCGCAACACTTCATTGCAATAACTTTTAACAAAGTTGAAGTGATATAATTATTGCCAAAGTCAATTGTGTTTATCTAATTATTAGATTTTTTTGCACACTTTCACATACTTAACCACTCCCTTAGTCCTTATTCCTTTTGATTAATGTTTGTACAGTGTATCTTTTCCCATCTTTCCATTTTCAATCTGTCTGTGCCCTTATGCTTAAAATGTCTCTTGGGATCCCTGGGTGGCTTAGTTGGTTAAGCATCTGACTCTTGATCTCAGTTCAGGTCTTGATCTCTAGGCCTTGAGTTCAAGTCCCACATTGGGCTCCAAACCCAGCATGGATGTGGACTTAAAAAAAAATGTGTCTCTTCTAAGTAACATATAGTTTGATTTAATTTTTAATCCAGTCTGATAAGCTTTGTCATTTAACTGGAATATTTAATCTTTTTACATTTACTGTATTTAATAATATAACATAATTATTAATACAATTAGTATTTACTAATTATATAATTATTTACATAATTTGGTTTACTTTTTAATACTTACTAATGTGTAAATACTAATATAATTGGGTTTACATAAATTATATATAATAACTTAATGTGTTACTATAACAAGTAAATTATGTACTTGTAAATTATGTAATTATTAATATAATTTGGCTTACTTTTTTATACTTATAATGGGTAAATACTAACTGGGTTTAAGTCCTACCATCCTGTTACTTGTTTTCTATTTGTCCATCTGTTCTTTTTTCCTCTCCTGCCTTTTTTGGATGAATCAAGTACTTTTGTTATATTTTATCCTTCATTAGCTTAAAAAACTTCTATTCTGAAATAATTTCAGATTTATAGAAAAGTTGTAAGAATAGAACAAATAACTCTATTTGCCCTTCACACAAATCCATTAATTATTAACATTTTTCCACATTTATCATTATATATTTTTTCTGACATCAGGATCCTTT